GGGAAAAGAAAAGATGGAGCAGCAGCCAAGGATTTATAAAGCAAGCGGCAGAGTCCTGCAGCTCAGAGGCGACACGGGGGGAGGGAATCGGAGCTAACCGAGGAAGGAGGCTGCTGTTTCTGCTGCCGCCGCCAGCCGGGGCATAATACGGTAAATAAATACGAGCATGGGGATCCGCGTGTGAACGAAGCCCCACTCCCCCTCCCCTTTTGCTTTCGCTCCCGAGCCGGCGCTTTTTTTTTCTTGAAATTTCCCTCTTAAAATGAAGGTGCGTGTTATACGCCGGTGCGTGTTATACGCCGATAAATACGGTAAACACATGCTTTGCAAAATCTTTCTTTATTATTGAAACACTAAAGCAGCAATATTTACATACAAGGCTTGTGTGGCTGCTTCAAAAGGTGCTCCCAACTGTCTGCCTGTCTGTATGTATACACCGCGGACTTTTCCACTGAGAGCAGCTATGAAGCAAAGTCTGGTGGAAAACCACTTATTCAGTCAGTCATGTCTTCCTTCCCTCCCTTGGGACATCATCAAAAACAGTTTTGCTTGTCATCTATTTTATATTTTAGATCCTGAGTGTCAAACTCGATTGCGTCATGTGACAAATCATGATGTATCGCGACGTTTTTTGCCTTTGCAGAGCTGGGGGGGGCGTGGGTGCATACCACCGGTTGAAAAACCCTGTTTTATGTCAGTTATATTTCAGACTCAAAAAAGTCTTTTACGTTACAAAACTAAATCAGTCTACATTTGACTTTTTGTATACCACATGAAGGTAAGAAAGTAAATTAGAGTTTTATTACTTTTTTCTAAACACTAGAAGAATACATTTAAATAATTGAATGTAGAAGCCCAGTGAAGAAATACATCCGAGTCCTAAAGAAAAAAGTTCATTTCATCATTAAGAGGGAAAGCTGGCTTCATACATCATGTTGAGCACAATGAGATTTGCTTAATTTTGTCATAGTGTGTTGTGTGAACTCATTTAAGAAATCATAGCTTATGGTTTCACATTCCATATGACCCTAAGCATAATGATTTAGCATAATGAGTAAACTCCATCATTGTTCTTGGTTCAAGAATAAACTAAGTTCAGAAACCAATTTCAAAGTCAAAAGCTTAAGACATACATATACATTATCCTTATGTGTCTAAAAGACTCCAGACTTTGACATTTATCCAAGTGATCCATTGGTTTCTCCAGAAAACTGACCATTTTAGAAATAGATTCTGGATTTGCAGCTGTTTCAGGACCCAAGTACACAATATGTAAACTTCCACACCAAATTAAGTGATGAATTTAGTATCTAAATGAAAATTCCCAATTTGATGTTGCCATGATAGGCATGAGGATGCAACATATTCCACTTTCAGCAAGACTCTGTTTGGATTTCATTAAAATAAAATAGAGTTCTGTAAACCTATTGTTATTGGTAATCACATCTGGTTGTGGTGTAATTGACATTCACAATAGTCGGTTCCTCTGAAAAGCGTACTTTGCACACAGTGACAGCTAAAAATCGTTACTTTTACACTGCTGTTGTTGTATAGACTTTGAATTCTTAGCTGTGGCCATCATGCATTTTGAAATTAAAATTTATCTAGCAGACCCACCTCTGAAACAGTTTTGCTATTATACAAATTGGGACTGGGGAGAACTAGTCTCAGTATTTAGAGCCATGGCTAATAATAATGATATATAAAATCTGTTAGTAAGTTAATTACATTAATCTGTCTATATCATTAAACTTTACCCAAGTGAAGTGGGAAAAAAATGCTGAGTGCTCATCAAAAGCTTATATGATCTATTCCTCTTTAGATTTTAATTTACATATACCAGTGTTGGTTTTAGAGAAGATGGAACCATCTCGTGTTTGTTTAGGATTTTAACTGATATCTGTAGCTCATAAAGTTTTTATATGTGCCCATATAAAACCATTTTTTAAAAAAACCTTTCACAGAAGATGAGTGGCTCTCATAAATAATGTGATGAGAGAAGAATGTATTTTCACGATACAGAATTGAACTATTCTCCATATTTACAGTATAACTATGACTGGTAGGATAGAACAGGACCAGCTTGCTTCTTAGTCTTCCTTTACCCCAGGTCCTTCAACCCTCAAAGGGAAAACAGGGGCTTTGGGGGAATGGGATATTGTTTCATCATGTGTCGATTCTACAATAGAGATGTTAAGCCTAAAATAATTCTGTTTTTTTCTAGTGTCAGCTTCGAGTTCATCAAGGGAGGTTTTATCTCTTGTACTTTTTCAGTACAGGTAGTCCTCAACTTACAACAGTTCATTTAGGGACCATTCAAAGATACAAGAGCATTGAAAAAAGTGACTTATGACCATTTTTCACACTTGCAACTAACTGTTGCAGCATTCTCATGATCACATGATCAAAATTTGGACCTTTGGCAACTTTTTCTGTACAGGGGAGAAGATAACATTCAACTGGACTTTGCTTGTGTAGGAGATTTTTGACAAGCAAAATATCCAGAATCCCGTTCCAGATGAAAGAAAGATGAAAATTCTTCTACATCTGTTGGTGATAAAGTTGCATTATCCCCCATGAGTGTGCCTATAAAATGCAAACAGAAATGTTTGGTTCTGATTTTAATTTGGCTAAGGTGCTTTTTTTTTCCTCAGGTGTTGTAGACTTTTGAAGAGAAATTTTGTAAGTAATTTCTAAAATCACTCTTACAGTGTTACAGTCTTTAACCTGATCAGT